GGTGATCAATAGGTGAAATTGTTCCGCCCTAAGAACTGTCATTATTTGACTTTCAATAAATTGTGTCTATTTTCAATTCAATTCAATTTCACGTGTTTAAATTAAATATTCTCAACAAATTCATATTTTTATTTGTTTGTCTCTTATCAAATAGGAGTTAGAAAAGTAACTCGTGGGAAAGATAATCCGGACTCAAATGTCCACTTTACTGCTTGTTACGATATCGTACACTTGCGATAGAAAAAACGCAACAATACACATTTTTTTCTTGTTAGAAGATGGTACATATTTTATTTATTTATTATTTGTTAAAACATTAAAAGAATGAGCAAATGTGAAAAGAATCAAACCCTGTCCATCTCACATCGAAAGTGCGTGCTCTACCATCTGAACTACACCACCTATCATTTAATATTTATGCACTAATAGTTATATATATTTAATATAAAATATTCCTTAAATCTTTTTTCTCGACGGATTCAGTATGGACAACCGTTCCAGGTGCTGGATCTGCCCCCCGATGAGCGTAAATAACCAGTCAAAAGTTGCTTCTTACAGAAGTAGCTTTCATCTTTTCAAAAGAACTACCAAATGTACTCTTAATGCATAATCATATATACAACTCCCACCATTCAAATCGTTTTCTCATCTTTTCATTGTCCACACTGCATTGCACAACATTAGACTATATCACATGGTTATTTAAACCTTAGGCCCTGTTTGATTGGGGAAATTTTTCAGCGAAGTTGGACAAATTTTTCCGTTTTCCATCTTTTGCGCTGTTCGACAGCCAAAATTTTTCACCGAAAATATTTTCCCACTTACTCGCCACGTCAACATTTTCCATGTTTTTCCATGAAAATATTTTGGTGGGAAAATATTTTCCAACCGACTGCTCAATTTTTTTTTTTTTAAAGGAAACAAACGTCATAACCAATTGTAAAAAAAAAATTCACTTTAATAGACAATTTTCATGTAAAACAAAGTCAAACGAATACTAAACTTTGATAAAAAATGATTTTTTAGGAAACAATTTTTTTTTTTTTTTTTTTTT